CGAAATCTTCCTATGAAGAAAAAAAAATCCATTTTAAAGTTTCTTTTTTTTTTTTCGTCGTTAATTTTAATGTACAATGAAAACTCAAAAAATCAACGCAATTGACAAAAACCAATCATCCTACAAAAAAAGTATTGGGCTACACGGGATAGCTATTAAGCCTTAAGGTAAGTATTAATGGCAATATGAGATAGCTATGCTATCCCATAACATGGGCCCTTTCTCGGCCATATAAAAGGACTGCCTATTAGTCTCCAAACCTCATTAATTTAAGGGTTAATACTACGAAAAATTTAAAATCGATACACCAGTGACAGATTTACCTCGAACTACTTTTTTGACCACTAAAAACCCCAAACTGGTACACTTGTGACAAATTTATCACCCATAAAATTGGATTAATACCATGAAAAATCACAAATTTGTAAACTTATGACAAACAGATGGGTAAAATCCCAAACCAATACACTCGTCAACTATTAAGTGCCATCCAACTCAGCAATTTGAAGCAAAATTTAGCAGAAACTAACGGAGAATAAATTTATCACAAAAAAAAAGCGTCCAACCAATAAAAGAGAAATTACGGTTCCTCTAGCTATGCCTTCAATTGGTGGATGATGATATACTAAATATAAATGTCGCTAATATTTAGGCACGAAATCTTTTAATTAGGAACGGACGAAAATACACCTCTTTAACAAACACGCGATTTTCTATTTTCTATTTTCGATTTTTAAAAAAGAAAAAGCTGGAAATGGAAGTGGAGTAACACTGAAGTTTGGGATCCGGAGATGCAGGGAATATCCTCTTGGGAAGCCCCCCCCCCCCCCCCGAGTGCGTTATCGTTTGCAATCAGGTTTCGATCGCGAGGGACACGTGGCGGCAGCCCACCGGGCCCGAGCGTTTTCGGCTTTGTTTGACTTTTGGTCATCTTGATTTCTTCCTCTCTCTCTCTCTCTCTCGCGCTCGACAGGTGGCCCCAATTACATGCGAACGAATGGCATTTATCGGATACGTTGGACCGTCGCCTACCACGTGTTCGTGCTTTTTGGTGCGCTTGTCTTCGTCCTCCTCGCGTTCCTTCAATCTTCTCGAAAAGAAAAAAGAGGGGGGTTATTGTGTTGTATGTAGCCCCTAAAATTAGCACGTAAATTTTTTGAAAGAAATAATGTGGATAATGAAATTCAGACCCATCTGTGCTCGATCGGGACTCCGATAAATTAGAAAACTAAACGAATAATCCTACGGGAAAATGACACGGGTGTGTTTAATGTGGTCCGTGAACTTTGATCTATTGTTCGATATGATCCCTGAACTTTTAAAACAACTTCATATAATTTAGGGATTGTATCAAATATTTACCAATAGTTTAAGTACCATATTGAACAAATTAAAAGTGCAGGGACAACATTGGAAGCTTGGCCAAAATTCAGGAGCCACATTGCATGAATTAAAAGTTTGGATGTGGCATTGCACATTGGATCAAAGTTCAGGGGATCATTTGTGCGATCGTCCATTTGCATATTTATGTTATATCAACCAACGTAAAGAGAAAAGAAACGAAGTTTTCGCATATTTCGTACCTAATATTGCTCTATTAAAACCGATTTGATTGGATACACGATCTTGTGATGAAAATAATTAATTAAATAAATATATATTGTACACTGGATGGGCAAAATTCAATAAAAAAAATGGAGAATTCCTCAATAAACACAAAAATAAAAAAATCATAGGATACAAGAATGAGTAGGGCCGTCCCTCGATTATGTATTCTATATATAGAGAATTCGCGTACATTTTTTGGGATCCCTATCAACCAAAATTTTGGCTCAATTTCATGTGTCACTCTAGCCACGCACGCGTCGCTGTGTTGTAAAACAATTCCCAATAAAATAAGAAATTCCCGATTTGCCCATTGTTAGATAACCCAGCCCATTTAATTTATTTGGGGGGATGGCAAAGAAAATTATAGTATAAGGTGAGTCCATTAATTTAATTCTGTAAAAATATTTGTTTAACCAAGTACCTTTCCAGATGCACAAATCTTGTCTCCTTGATTTCTTCCACTAAAATTATCTACCATGGCAGATTTGCCCTCCGGTCAAAATAAGGTTGACAAAAATTTTCTTCTAATCTTGACAATGTAGACAGTATAGTATAAACTAATACGATATTTGTTAGAAATAGTTTACCAATGTTAGAGTATTTAAATATGCGATAGTGACATAGACAGTCCTGAACTTTGACCGAGTGTGTAATGTGATCTCTGAATTTTAACCTAATATTCAATGTGGTTATTAAACTTTGACTCAGTGTGTAATGTGGTATCTGAACTTTTAATTTGTTTAATGTGGTCCCTTGACTTTTGGTACATGTTCAATATAGTGGAAAGACTGCATTGAATATTTACACATAGTTGAATGACTAAATTAAGTATGTACCAAAAGTTTAATAATGACATTGAATAAATTAAAAGTTTAGAGATCACATTACATGTTGGGTCAAAACTTAGGGACTATTTGTACCATTTTCCCAAAATATTATACTGAAAACGTTTTTACCATGAAAAATGAAGAAAGGTTCAAAAGAAAAGTGCACAATCCTTTTCTTTTAACTTTTTGACTTGAGTTTATTTTCATATTTTCCAAAAGGGACGGAAAAAGTGAAAGCCGAAAATACTAGGGTGAGCAACTTGGACTGCCCAAACCGGGACCAGACCGGACTAGACCGGACCGACGGGTTTGGTCCGGTTCTTGGGACTATCGGTCCGGTTCCCGGTTCCTAAAAGCGGAACCGGTTTCCGGGTGGTCCGGTTCCCGGTTCCAAGGGGGAACCGGACCGGACCGGACTGACCGGACCGAACCGACTATTTAATATATATATTTTTTATTTTTTTCTTTAAAAAAATTAATAAAATGTGAACTAAACTCTAAGTGAATTTCATTATCATAAAATTCATTGATAAAAATTAGTAAAATGTGAATTAAACCCTAAGTGAACTTCATTGACATAAATTCATTGAAAAAAATTAGTAAAATGTGAACCAAACCTTAAGTGTTTGACAAAAAAAAAATCACAAACTCTAAGTAACCGGTTCCATTGGATCGGACCGGACCGACGGTCCGGTCCGGTTCCCGGTCCTAGAACCAACCGGTCCGGTTCGCGGTTCCCAAAATTGGGAATCGGTTCTCTCGGTCCGGTTCCCGGTTCCGCCTTGGAACCGGATTGGACTGGGAACCGCTCACCCCTAGAAAATACTGAAAAAAAAAGAAAAGAAAGAGAGGCCAAAAAAAAAAAAGCGCAAAAAAGTAATGTTGAGGTCATGCAAGCGTGGGCGCGTGGCATTACCGGAATTAACTATTCCTGACCAGCATATGCTGCCAGAATAATTCCCCAATTTCCCGCTCTTACAATCGCCGAGGCTTGTCACTAAAAAATGCTATACCCGATCTCGCGAGTATGGATTCCGCGGCTACTCTCCACTCCGTTTCGACACGTGTCACGAGCCCGTCGGATCCTCACGCGCCAGGACAGCCCCACGCGCGCCAGACCCGTCCCGTCGAAGCTGATTTGCCCTTCCCCGGTTGTACAAAAGGGCAGCAATTCGGTACAGCACATGCTTCGGTAATTAAGGACAAAATTAGTTTGTCTTTTTTTGTGATGATAATCCATATTTCCAATTTAAATCCGATGTGGAAAGTGAAAGACCAATAAATACGTGAGAATTCATTTCTAATTTCTGCTAATTTTCTGGAGAAATGATTGAATAAATCGGAATTAATTTCATCAAACAATTTTTTTGGATTGCGGTTAAAACATAGTGCTGAAAGCAAAAGTATATAGCTATATATAAGCTAATAAACAAAGTAAATAAAATGCACGCCTTCATCGGGACACCAAACATCGGAATATATTGGGAGTCGACCAATCAATAATTGGCTCCAATATCATTTATTAGGAACCCGTAACAAACCCGATATAAGAAGAAGCTCGAATCCGATCCCGATCAATCAATCCATTAAAACCCACCTTGGTGCTAATAAGTTGTGAACCAATGATGTATATATAAACTTTTCCACGCCATATCATTCTCCGATATAAAACTTTTCTAACATGACTAAAAAAATACTAGTTAACAAGACCCTTAAATAACAATCTCGAGTCATGTTAAATTGAAGTTTGGAATAATGGGAAAAAAATAAAGACATGAAATTTCATAACGATGACTACTGCCATCAACATTTTTTTTTAATTTAATTGAAGAAAAATTACATAAATACTATTTAGATTGTTAATCTGTTGCCATGCGAAAATTTTTTTTCAAAATATTTTCTATGATGTTTCAAGATAACTTTTCACGACTGGGGCGCGTTTTTGTTTTGTCGGAAAATGAATGATTCGGAAAACAACCTCCTTAAAAAAAATGATTGCCCGAAATAAACATACAATGAAAAATGTCGTCATTATCGAAAACAATTTACGTCCAAATATCTTCGCGGACGACAGGCATATTTTTCTGTTCATTCATTTTGCAAGCGGTATTAGACGCTATATCGAATTATCCATTTTCCCCGAAACAAGCAGAACATTAATTAACTTATTCAAATCCAAACAATTATTCGACAATGAAAAATCCAAATAATTAGCTTAATAATTAACGTTATTTCTTCCGTCCAAAAATTAAAGAACAAAAAATTCCACCGGCGAGTACGCGGATTTTGCGTACTCGAGGAGAGTAGGGGAGATCTCCATCTCTCGCCAACCTGCAACAACGGTCCAAACAGTCCATTTTCACCTCGCTTCCCTTCCCTGCACTTAGGCAAAACAAAATAAAATAAAAAAAATAATAATTTTTTTAAAAAATTATTTTCTCCCCCACTGCCTTATATCATCCGTTCTTCTCCCTCTCCTCTCTTCCAGACACCTCTCTCTCTCCCTGGAATTCCTGCGAGGAGGAGCGAAGGAGGGAGAGGGGAGGAGGAAGGGAGAGTTTCTCTCTCTATCTGTCTCTATCTCTAGACGACTGCGGCGGCGGCGGCGGCGGCGGCGATGGCGGGGAACGACTGGATCAACAGCTACCTGGAGGCGATCCTCGACGTCGGCCCGGCCCTCGACGACAAGCGGTCGTCGCTGCTGCTCCGGGAGCGGGGCCGCTTCAGCCCCACCCGCTACTTCGTCGAGGAGGTCATCACCGGCTTCGATGAGACCGATCTCTACCGCTCCTGGGTTAAGGTCTGATTCCATTCGACCCGATCGGAACGGGGGGGGGGAACGGGCCGCCTGCTCGTCCATTTTCGCGCGCGCGCGTGTGGTTCGGATTGCGTTTCTGTTTTGGTTGTTTGATGCGGAGTTGTTGATGCTGCGGCTTGTGCTGTTGTTTAGGCCCAGGCGACGAGGAGCCCCCAGGAGAGGAACACGAGGTTGGAGAACATGTGCTGGAGGATTTGGAACCTGGCGCGGCAGAAGAAGCAGGTGCTTGCTCGCTCGTGTTGTGGTTTTCGTTGCTGTTCGTTTGGGGAATCGGTTTCCGGTTCGATACGGTTTCGGAGTTCCGTCGTTGTCACCGGGGCGCGTCGTGCTCTATTTTCGCTTTGATTGAGCTTTGTTGGTAGGAAGAAGTAGATGGTGGTGGGTGGATGTTATCGCTTGTTGATTATTTGCGGATGTTTTCGTTTATCTGCTGGAGAAAAGACTTGCTTTCGGAATTTAGGCTAAAAGTTGGCTTAACTAGTTCTATGTTTGTTGTTTCGGGACTTGTTGTGGCGGAAACTCTCTAGTTTGGGATTGCTTTTGATATTTGGGATTCTATCTGAAGTGTTTTGTTCTGTGTGAATATGTGGAGTTCATTGTGTGAGTTAAAAAAGCAACACTTGGAAACTTTTCTTTTCCTGAATTCTTCTGGTGAGAGCATGGAAGCGAACTATATCCTGTAAGTATTGGTTTTGATTTTTTTTTTCTCAATGAAGAAAAGGGATGAGGAGATTAATCGAGAAATATAATTTTCTCCGTTTTCTTTATGGTCCCTCTTGACTACTGATGCTTTTCATTTCGCTGGCCGTGGTATGAGCTCCCACAAAGTAGCTAATTGTGAAATAGCTGTAGAAATTAATTTCAAGGTGAGTAGCTTATAAGATTGTTGAAGGATGCTTCATTTTTATGGCCGCGAGCCTATTTTCTCGTGAGAAGACTGATTTCTTCTGGAATTAATTCACTTGACTTACATTTAGCATCTATGATTTCTATGCAATAGGCAGTTTTCTTTTATAGTTCACATAGTTTTGTTTTGGGGGTGGGACTCATAACTAATATTGTATCATTATTTTCTGCAAATTGAAGAACAGAAAAGTATTTCTGTTCAGGTTTCAAGTAAACTATTCTGATTTCAGTTTGTTGCGTTGATCCTTGACTAGCTTGAAGGCGAAGAAGCCCAGAGAAAAGCTAAGCGTCGACTTGAACGTGAAAGGGGTCGCAGAGAAGCAACTGCGGACATGTCTGAGGACTTATCTGAGGGAGAAAAGGGAGATGCAGTCAGCGATATATCGACTCACGGTGATAGCAACAGAGGCAGATTGCCTAGGATAAGTTCTGTTGATGCAATGGAGACATGGATTAGTCAGCAGAAGGGGAAGAAGCTTTACATTGTATTAATAAGGCATGTGCTGTTATATTCTGTTCTGCGCAACTCTGTCCATTTGAAGTGCCATCAAACAAGACATTGTTGACCCCCTCATATATTAGTTCACCTATGCTTTTAGAACTTGACGAGACAAATGCGGCCACATATGCAACTTGATCTTTTTACGACGCAACCATGTTTGTCTGGATGATGGAAAGAAACTTATATCAACTGTTAGTGTATTGTACATGTTTCCATGGAATATGAGAATGTCTTCGATTTATTTCTTAATCACTGCTGTTGTCTGCAGTGTTCATGGCCTGATACGGGGTGAAAACATGGAGCTTGGCCGCGACTCGGATACTGGTGGTCAGGTAGATTTGAGTTGTGATCTCGAATTTGCTTGTTTTGTTTGACAAAGTATCACTATTGTTTGAGTTCACAAAGGCTCTAATAACCCTTGCTCTGGGTACATATATGGGATGGTGATTTTTAGAAGACTTACTGTGGGCCGTTATCTCTTTAGGTCAAGTATGTCGTTGAACTTGCGAGGGCGTTAGGTTCAATGCCAGGTGTTTATCGAGTGGACTTGCTTACTAGGCAGGTATCATCACCAGACGTTGATTGGAGTTATGGCGAACCGACGGAGATGTTGGCTTCAAGAAATTCTGAAGGTTTATCAGAAGAAATGGGAGAGAGCAGTGGTGCTTACATTGTCCGTATACCTTTTGGACCAAGAGATAAGTATATTCCGAAGGAACTTTTGTGGCCCCATATCCCTGAATTTGTTGACGGCGCGCTCAACCATGTAATACAAATGTCAAAAGTCCTAGGAGAGCAAGTTGGTGGTGGCCAACCAGTGTGGCCTGTTGCCATCCATGGTCACTATGCTGATGCTGGGGACTGCGCTGCTCTTCTATCTGGGGCTTTAAATGTACCAATGCTATTTACTGGTCACTCACTTGGTCGAGATAAGTTGGAACAACTGCTCAAGCAAAATCGTCTGTCCAAGGATGAAATCAATACGACATACAAGATAATGCGCCGCATAGAGGCAGAAGAATTGTCCCTTGATTCCTCTGAGATTGTGATAACTAGTACTAGGCAGGAGATTGATGAGCAATGGCGCTTGTATGATGGTTTTGATCCGATATTGGAGAAGAAGCTACGAGCAAGGATAAAGCGCAATGTCAGCTGTTATGGAAGGTCCATGCCGCGCATGGCTGTAAGTAATATAAATTCCTTTTTTTTTCTCCTTACCAGACATAACTCTCTCATTCTTTAGCGTTGTTTATCGCATGATGGATGTGACAATCTTTTTCGCACCTTTTATTTCCATACCAGTTTATAAAACTGGCTTACTAATGCTTAAATGATTCTTCAGTGAATTATGCAAATTAATCATCATCTACATTTTGCTCGGGTGCCTTGGGGTTGATTGTTGAGGAGAGAAAATTAGATGAGCAGCAAGCTTTATATATATATATATATATATATATATATATATAAGAGAGAGGGAGGGAGGGAGTGAGGGAATTAAATGTGTATATTTTGTGCATGTGTAGATATTGTTATTGTTGATGACGCTGTATTATAAGGTGGACTAAGCAATTCTTGGGACCAATTCAGATAATACCTCCAGGAATGGAATTTCACAATATTGCTCCCCAAGATGGTGATATGGATGGGGAGATGGAAGGAAATGACGATCATCCTACTACCCCAGATCCACCTATTTGGCCTGAGGTTTGTTGCAAAATTGTTTGAAAAAGCTAAAATTTTGAAGAATGGCTCAAGTTAAGCTTCTTCCGGCACATGCATTGGCATGGACTCACTTTTGATTTGTAATAATGCAGATAATGCGATTTTTCAATAACCCTAGGAAGCCCATGATACTAGCACTTGCGAGGCCAGACCCCAAGAAGAACATCACCACACTGGTTAAAGCATTTGGAGAATGCCGACCATTACAAGAACTGGCTAATCTGGTAATATAGTCTAAAGATCATTACCATGGTATTTGTTTGGTAAAGTCTCTTCTTAATTATGTTATGAGACTGTGAAGATTATGGTAATCTCATTTAGCGCTTTGTTATACAGACTCTCATTATGGGTAATCGAGATGGCATTGATGAAATGTCAAGCACAAATTCTTCCGTCCTCCTGTCCGTGCTCAAGCTTATTGACAAATATGATCTTTATGGGCAAGTGGCATATCCTAAACACCACAAACAATCTGATGTTCCTGATATATATCGGCTAGCCGCAAAAACAAAGGTAACTTTGGAGTATTGTGCTAAACAAGTTATCTGTGAGAATACGGTTGTTGATTTTCCCAGGAGAGCTGTTGCAACTCACAGATAGTCCATGTTTATTCGCATGGTTCTTTGATACTGACATCTTGCAACCATTTGCTTAGAACATACACTAGAACAAGCAACCCCATTTTGATTACTTGAGTCAGCCATATTTGTTCTATATCGTGTTGTGCTGTTATATTTTTTGATTTAGTCAAGATTATATGCCACACTCCACACATAAGCCAGTACCGACTTGCATGCACGCGTGCAATTTTCGGCTCAATGAATATTGATCTGATTCTTTTTCAGGGTGTTTTCATCAATCCAGCTTTCATTGAACCATTTGGGCTTACTTTAATAGAGGTGAGCATTACTTTGTGAAGTGTTAAGTTTCTCAAGTCATTATACGATAAGAGTCCTCCCTCTTTTGTCAAACAGGCAGCAGCTCATGGTTTGCCGATTGTTGCCACAAAAAATGGAGGTCCTGTTGATATACACAGGGTATGCCTTTTCTATGAATATATCTTATTATTCATGGTATTAGATCTCCAGATCCTGTCAAACTGACTGAAAGGAAAAAAAGTGCAGGTTCTTGACAATGGCCTTCTTATTGATCCCCATGATCAGCAGTCGATTGCTGATGCTCTTCTAAAGTTGGTGGCAGATAAACAGCTCTGGGCTAGGTGCCGGCAGAATGGACTGAAGAATATTCACCTATTTTCATGGCCGGAGCATTGCAAGACTTATCTCTCTAGAATAGCAAGTTGCAAGCCCAGGCATCCACAGTGGCAAAGAAGTGAGGATGGTCTTGGAAATTCAGAATCTGATTCGCCAAGTGATTCCTTGAGGGATATACAGGATCTGTCCCTAAATTTGAAGTTCTCATTGGATGGGGAGAAGAATGAAGCTAGTGGAAATGAGATATCTGTAGGATCTGAAGACAATGCAACAGATAGAAAAAATAAGTTAGAGAATGCTGTAATGACATGGTCCAAAGGTGTTTTAAAGGATAGGAAAACGGGATTAATGGAGAAATCTGATCAGAATGCCAACTCTTCCAAATTTCCACCCCTGAGGAGGAGAAAGCACATCTTTGTCCTTGCGGTGGACTGTGATTCACTGACAGATCTTCTTGAAATCATACAAAAGGTTTTCTCTTCTGTGGATAAGGAAAGGAATGAAGGCTCCGTCGGATTTATATTGTCAACATCTTTGACGATGTTTGAGATTCATAGTTTTCTAGTTTCCGGGGGGTTGAGTCCTTATGATTTCGATGCGTTTATCTGCAACAGTGGTAGTGATCTCTACTATCCATCTCTCAATTCTGAGAACCGTCCGTTTGTGATCGACTTCTATTACCATTCACACATTGAATATCGATGGGGTGGGGAAGGGTTAAGGAAGACTTTGGTTCGTTGGGCAGCTTCTATTACTGACAAGAAGGCTGCAAATGAAGCCCAGATTGTCACTTTGGCAGAGAAGCTCTCCACCGACTACTGCTACACCTTTAAAGTGGAAAAGCCGGGAATGGTACACCTTATTTCTTTGTAACTCTGTTTTTCATGGGATAAGTATAGCAAGCTTTTTTTGATACAGATGAGGGGATATTGGGGTTTTGCTGATTTCTGTCAGTCCTAGTATTCTGTTTGAAATAAGTGAGCCTCTCTGAGTTTTGGTCCTGCAGGTTCCCCCGGTTAAGGAGCTGCGGAAGATGATGAGAATTCAGGCTCTACGTTCGCATGCTATTTTTTGCCAAAATTGGACCAGGCTGAATGTCATTCCAGTGCTGGCATCTCGTGCCCAAGCACTTAGGTATTGCTTTTCCTATTGTCATGGATGATCTGAAAATATCTGATGGAAATAAGTGCATTTTGATCAAAACTTCATGTTTGTTCAAATTAGGTCCCAAGACATTTGTTTTGTTTGAAACATACACATCGAGGCATTGATATTCGAGTCTTATCTTCCCCTAAGAAATGGATGTGAAGAGCATGGCTTAAATCCAAATAATGGCACCTAATAGTCTAACTACAATGCTCTGGTAAAGATTGTCATACAACTACAGAACACCGTAAAGACAATTCATTTGAACATCAGTGACCAATAAAACAAAAGAGTAAAGGTATATGGGGAGGGCAATGCCTTCTACTGACCAAGAAACTCGAAGCAAATTCCATTATGAGCAGAGTTTTGTAGCTGTAAGGAGGGTCATGCGGATTTAGGAAATATATGGAGTACTGCAGCCAAGCTCTTTTACAAGGAACTGCATGCGGCATGCCTGACAAGCACATTTCTAATGTCCTGTGAACGATTCGCTTGTCTTGTAACATCAATTGATAAGATTACTGAGCATGGTCATAAATGACCGTTACCTGTAACAGGCACAATGATGCGACTAGACTTCCATTGAATTCTCTAGCCATAATTCACACTACGATTACATTTTGAGTCTCAGAGTGCACTGCGTCTCCTTGTACTCTGTTGTAGAGATGTCCGTTATTTGCATCAGGCTTGATCAACTCCAAATTGAACTAAAAAAATTTCCTGTAGGTACCTATATGTCCGGTGGGGAGTCGACCTATCAAAGATGGTGGTTTTTGTTGGAGAATGTGGTGACACAGATTACGAGGGATTGCTTGGAGGGCTGCACAAGAGTGTTATACTTAAGGGGGTGTGTAGTAGCGCCAGCAATCAATTCCATGCCAACAGAAACTATCCTCTTTCAGATGTCATGCCCTTTGACAGCCCAAACATCGTTCAGACATCTCAAGACTGCAGCAGCGATGACATTCGGGCTTCTCTGGAGAATTTAGGAGTCATAAAAGAGTGAGATTCTCCTCCACGACCTCTTCTAAACTTTTTTACGAGAGGTACTCGTCATCATCCCTCACAGCTTCACATTCATTCCTTCCCCCTTCTTTCAAGATGCATTCCGACGTAGCTGTTCTCTTGATGATGAAGCCTCTGTACGTGTTGAATCCGAGCTGTATTTGTGTTCCCTTTTTGCCTCAAAAGAGCCACCTTTCTCTTTTCTTTTTATTCACTTCCTTGGGCCACGAGATCCTGAGGTGGCCATTATCTTGCTGTTACTTGTATAGTAGTGCCGTTGGATTTCTGATGCTCTTCTTTTGGACAATGATAACCAGTGCAATCTCCCAAGATGTTTCCTGTGTATCTGAGGATGAACATGATGTATATACATAAGTTGCCTTCTCTCTCCCCCTCTCTCTCTCTCTCTCTCTCTTTCACACATGAGTGCGTAACTCAAAGCTTTTCTTATATATACTCAGGCCCGTTTGGTTTAGCTTTCGGCCTAGCATTGGCCAAATGCTAGCATTTGGACCAGCTTTAGGCTTTCGGCATTTCACAAATGCTGAAATTTTTTTTTCCATTCCCAAACTATCCTCACTCAAACTTTAATATTCCGGTTTTGACCCCTTGTTACTGTTTATCTTCTTCACGAAAGCGTGGTCGGCGAGGGCGGCCGACGACATCGGATCTAGACGGCAAAGGGCTAGCGAGGGGCCGGCGAGGTCGCTCGACCTAGGCGATGACCGCCTGAGGTCGCGCGACCGCCCAGGTGCCGTCGGCCTGGGTCGTGCGACCCTAGGCGGCCGTCGCCTGGATCACGCGACCTCAGGCGACCCGTTGTGCGACCTCAGGCCTCGTCGCCTGAGGTCAGGAGACCCCTGGCGACGGCCACCTGGGTCGTGTAACCCTCGCCGGGGGTCACCCAAGGTCGGGCTCCGGCCGCCTACGCTAGATCTGGCTCGCCGGCGGCCGTAACCCTTCGCCGACTCCGGCTATGGGTAACTTTTTTTTTTTAATAAAAAAGGATCCCAAAGCCCTTTGCAAAAAAAAAAAATAGCCGAATACTACTTTGGCCAAAGTAGCTTCATAACGAATTTTTTTATCAAACGTCATTTGCATTTCCCCAAGGGGCTTTAACTTAGGTATTTGCATTCCCCAATGGCCCCTTTTCAAAGTTGAACCAAACGAGTCCTCGCTCTATGATTTGTTTTGTTTATTTTTGGGTCTCATTCTGTTGTATATAGTTCACATGAACACCTACCTTCATGAGTCCTGACAAGGAAACTGATGCAGACGGGGACCGATCCTTCTGTTACGATACTGGCCTAACTATCCACAGAATCCCTCACGTGTTTCCCTGGTTTAGTCTTTAACTGCATGGGACTTGTTTTGGTGAATCAAGGAATTGTTTTCGGTGTAGTTTTTAGTCGGGTTAATATCACCAAAAACCTCAAACTGGTACGTATGTGACAATTTTGTCCTGAACTTTTTTTTTGACCGCCAAAAACCCCAAATTGATACATCTGTGATAATTTTACCCCGAATTTATCACAAAAAACCCCAAACTGGTAAACTCGTGACAAATTTACCCTGAACTATTTTTTTGACCACAAAAAATCCCAAACTGGTACAACTGTGATAATTTTACCCCAAACTAATAATTTTTTAATATTATTTTTTATTTTTTCAAATTTTTTATTTATTTTATTATTTTTTTTCTTTTCTTTTTTTTTCTTCATCTTCAACCTCTGGCCGGTCACCGAACCGGCGACTGGCCAGAGGCGGAAGTCGGCGAGGTCAGCCCCGTCGGCCGCTGGTGAGGGCGGCCCTCGCTAGATCGGGCGAGGGCCGCCCTCGCCCGACGCCGGTGAGGGTGACCCTCGCCTAAGTCGGGCGAGGGCTGCCCTCGCCTGCCCACGCGAGGGTTTCCCTCGCTGGATTTAGCAAGGGCGACCCTCGCTTGCGTCGGGCGAGGTCAGCCCTCGCTAGGGCGGGCGAGGGCTGCCCTCGCTTGAGTCGGGCGAGGACAGCTCTCGCCCAACTCAAGCAAGGGTCGCCCTCGCCCGACTCTGGCGAGGGCGACCCTCACCAGCGGCGGGCGGGGCCGACCTCGCCGGCTTTCATCTCTGGTCGGTCGCCGGTCCGGCGACCGGCCAGAGGTTAAAGATGAAGAAAAAAAAAAGAAATAAAAAGAAATAAAAATTTTAAAAAATAAAAAATAATATTAAAAAATCAGTTCGGGGTAAATTTGTCACATGTGTATCAATTTGGGGTTTTTTGTGATAAGTTCGGGGTAAAATTGTCATAGGTGTACCAGTTTGGGGGTTTTTTTGTGGTATGTTCAGGGTAAAATTGTCACAGGTATACCAGTTTGAGGTTTTTTATGGTAAAAAAAAAAGTTCGGGCTAAAATTATCACACGTGTACCAGTTTGAGATTTTTGGTGGTATTAACCCGTTTTTAGTCCCTCAAAGTGTGCATCGGTCCTGGAGATCTAAACAGTACGGTGGATAATATGTAACGTTTTGGTTTCTGTTTTTTTAAGTCCCTGAGATGGTGTTGTGATCTCTTCTAAAGTTTTTGACATTGTGTGAGGTTAATGCCACCAGTAGTCCTTATATATTTATCTGGAAATCAAAAGTATCTCTACTTATTTTTCAATTCAAAAGCTTATTCTTACTTTCAAAATGTTCCACCTTAGAGTCCTTCTGTTCTGTTTTCTCTATTGCTGGTGCATTTTTTCGGTGACATGGGTAACCGGATTCTGAGTTGGTCGTCGGAGCGCACCGTCCTGTCATGATTCACGATTTTCTTTTTGTGGTGCCAAATAGGCATTACATCGGGCAATATAAAAATGAGAGAGAGAGAGAGATTTGGAGCTCGCTGTAATGGTCGCTCGAGCTTCATGGAGCTCGTGGCCATTGTTGCAGAGTGCCGAGTGCTGATCACAAGTGGGCATTACAAATTTTGGAGATTTTGCACTGTTAGGGAGTTAGATTTTGTGGGTTTTGATTGGGATTTGGTGGGGTTTTAAGTAGTAGAAGAAGAAGAACAAGAAGAAGAAGCTAGATGCGGAAAAGAATATAAATCAATCGATTTCTCCTTTTCTTGTTGCAGCAGGCACGATTTTTCGGGGATCATATTCGAGTTTCTTTTCCCCAAAACTTTAACTTACGTTCTTTATAAAGTCTTTTATCAAAAGAGAGGGTACTTTCAATCTTAATTCACCTAAACGAGAGTACTTTGCGCCATGTTAACGTCTATCTGGCTTTCATTGGATTTTCAATTTCAATATCCCAACCAATTAAGAGAAAATTTAACAATTTGCCTTGTTTTGATGGCAACAGTAAGGTTTTTTTTTTGTTCCAGCAAATAGTTACTATTGTGTACGACAAAGTAGATTTTTTAATTAACATAGCTATTAATTATTTAATTTAAAAGCGTATCATGCTATAACATTTCACAAATGGTCTTTTCATAATAACACAATAACTAAAATCATTGCAAATTATTTTGTTTAATACAATATATAGTTATATAAAACTCTCCAAAAATCAACTAATTAAAAAGAGGCAACTAACTTTGCAAGTAAAGTAACGGTTAAGGATGGATTAAGCCGTTTACAAAGGTTTCTTATTCTCCATATGTGAAGCATGCGTGGATTTTAGAGAGGAGGGAATAAACTTAAGGAAAAAAAAATTAGCTAAGAGTTTCAGAAAACAAGCTACTAGCTATGGCATTTCCTCCGAGATTTGTATCTCTTGCGATTGCAATCATTTGTGTTTTCACCAGTGTGAGATGTACGACCGGACACATCTTTTCTCCGAAGAACTTTCGTCGTAGACCGGTGCGAAGATTGTAATGGGATCCGGACGCCCGTCATCTAGAACAGGCTTAGGGATAGCTGGTGGTTGAGGTGGACATTTCTTAGATGATAAAGAGGCTCCTGACGTTTGATAAGACTCGAGAGAGGCTTCAAATTAAGGGCGATATTGTGAGCAAGTAGGATCAGGGATGCTTTCTTTCTTACTAGATTTCTGGTCACTCTCCTTCATAGATTCACCAAAGCGACTTCCAAAATCCCTGGCAGGGGAAGCCACTCTCATCCGAGGGCCAAACCTAGGTTGTCCGGCCACAGCTTCACACACTAAGGACTTCCTTATCACCTAGCTTCCCAGTGTGACCAATGATACCATCAAATCTCTATCCAATGCCTTTCACCATTATCCGTAACACTCCACTTTCTAGGTACGAGGGGTTCTTTTAACATCCAGTGCAACTTTAACACAGAGAAATCCACGACGACCCCAAGATTTGGTGTGAATTTGGCTTAATTTTCGCCACTTTGCCTGCCAAACAAGCAGTAACTTTTGCATTGTTGTGTCATCCGGTCCAAGGCCTATCCATTTATTTGCAGCCACACATCCGGTTCATCAAAACAGAGGTCCTCCAGTCTCTTCTGAGCATCCCATCTCTGCAGGTTTATGCAGTTTCCCATAATCGAACTAGGGCCAGAACTGACGATTCTCTCTGCTTGGTGCGAATCATGAAATGTGAACAACTACATAATCTCATTTGAAGGGGTTATAATAATCTCACCCATAGCAGCCCACGCTTTCCTAGAAGCATTAGCTAGGAAGCTTGACTGCAGCACTTCTCTGACAAAATCCTTCCGATCAAAATCATCTCAGCTACCTCATCATCAACTTGCTTCAAAACCATATGATCCCTCAGAAGATCCTCTACCGGAGATGCTTGGGATGTTAAGGGAACCTCTGCAACCATCTTGTAATGACGAAAAAAAAGTGGATTAGCGGAGGATCATTTCATAAAATATCGTCGAACGGTTGATGCGGACAGTGTGTGGTGATAGGAAAACTAATGCGATGCAACAATGCCAAAGAAACTTGTTCTAAACTCATAAGAATTTGATAGGCATGTTCTAAACTCATAACCAATATGAGCTCAAAGTTTCCTTCGTAACTCCCGGAACTTCTTCATAAATCTTTGAACATTTCGGAGTCATCCTACATATCGCGATAAGCCTCTGAAACCTTTGTGAGGTAAATACTAAATAGAAACATTTTATCAAGGGAATATTATATAGACAGTTTTATACATTTTAGCCGATAAATAATCAAGTCTTAATATTTGAAAATGTGCAATGAAAACCTAAACGTTTTAAAATCGGTACTATCAAGTCCTTCTGGCGACAGCTTCGTCAATTTTGCTGACGTGGCACATCAAAATTTACGGAAAATGACACAAATAGTCTCTGAACTTTGGCCAAATGTGCAATTTGATTCATAAACTTTTAACTTAGTCAATAGTCCATGAATTTTAGCCTAATGTTCAATGTGGTCCATGACTTTTTGGTGCATGTTCAATTTAAGGGACTACATTGAACAT